GGAGGTCAAACAAGGCGACCGTCTCTCTGTCCCTGTTTCAGATCACACTCAGATCCAGCGTCCTTTTGGTGTCTATTTAGTGTCGCTTTTTTTTTTTGCATCTTTGTGCTGTTGGTGGGTGATTTCGCTATTATAAATAGCCCTGCTGTCTGGTGTCGCTAAGAGCAGCAGGGCTATGATGGGCCGTGTGGAGGAAATTCGTGTGTTAGATGAGCTTCATTCAGTCATGAGTTAAAGCTCTGCGGGACACTAGTTCAGTATTAATAATGCAACAATATCCAGTTGACCCTTGAACAACTTGGGACTTAGGGGGCGCTGACCCTCCAGGCAGTTGAAAATCTCTGCACTGTTCTGTCTGCCTAAAAAACAAAGGCTTTGATGAATGACTCACCCCCAGGGCAGGAAGCTGGAACAGTCTGGATAGAATCCTGGGTTCAAACCCTGTTCTTTCAACTCTATGTGGTGTGATCTGTAATCCGATACGAATTTGTCCCCACCCTCAGTTCATCTAAAGATCCTGTGAAATGAAAATGCAAGTACTGTATTTATTGAAAAAGAGAGCCAATGTATAAGTGGGTCCGTGCAGTTCAAACCCATATTGTTCAAGGGTCAGTGGTACATTAAATATGTTGTCTTTGATCAGAAATACACAGGGTTGTGTGTTTATAGTTTGAAAAACATGTCACGACCAGAGGCTGGCAGGAACCCTGAGCGGCACTTTGCTGGGGAGCAATGGTCAAGGCCTGGCTAATTCAGGGGTCCTGGCGACTCGAGAGAACATGCCTCCTGCAGACAATGAGAACTGACTGAGAGAGAGTGGAAGCTGGGCAGGGGTCCAGGGCCCAGGCCTGGCTTCTCCTGCTCCGCAAGCTTCCGTCCCCTACTGGGAGGATGAAATGACTCTCTGAATGCGTGTCGCTCCGGTGCTGTTGTTGTTTAGCCACTAAGGCGTGTCCGACTCTTTGCAACCCCATGGACTGTATAGCCCAGCAGGCTTCTCTGTCCATGGGATTTCCCAGGCAAGAATACTGGAGTGGGTTGCCATTTCCTTCTAGGCTTAAAAATAACCATGGGAACCGTGAGGGCGACTGTGAGGAGTAAGGAGAATCCAAGGTGTATCCTGGCACTCAACCAACGGCAGGTCTTACGTGCAGCGTGACCCAGGCGGGTCAGCTGACCTCTCCAAGCCTCAGGTGCCCCAGCGTCTTCCTCTTGTAGGGTGGTTATGGCGATCTGTGGGTTTACATTCGTGAAAGGGTTTTCTGAATTGTCCAGTCCCAGTCCACTGATCCTCAAAGTGCCGCCCACATCCCTGTGGCACCCTCATCTGGGCGCCTGGTGACAGAGCAGACTCCCGGCCCTGCCCAGCACTTCTGAACCACCGTCCTGGGGCTCAGGATTGGGGCAAAAGCTCCAGTGATTTTGTTGCAGACTGAAGAGTGGGTTAGTAGGACCCATTCTGATTTTTCTTCCCAAACCGCCCAGAGATCCTGTGGCACAGTTGTAGACTTGACTCCTAAAAGGTGAGCTGAGATGAGACAGTGACAGTTTGTTCAAAGCAGTGGAACAGCCCAGAGGGCAGAACACCCTGATCCCTGGTGCCCACTGCAATTCCGCACCTATCCCGCCTGCCCTCGGGAAGGATTTTGCATGAGTTCTGGCAGGTCGGGGAGGGCACTTTCTAGTCACATTGCAGGAGCTAGATAGTTGCTGTGGAGACCAGCCTGCTCAGTGTGCAGCAGGCAGGAAGCAGCTGGTGGGCTTTGTTCCAGGTCCAAGAGTCAGGGTGTCAGCGCTGCCAGGGCACAGCAGGGAGCAGGCAGCCTGTGCCCTCTAGGTTAGAGGTGCCCAGCTGGGTGCTGGGCAGTGCCACGCATGCGATAGCTGTTGCTTTTTTTGTTTCCTTTTTCAAGAGACACTTTTCATTCAGACACAGTAGTTGCCAAGTTTTGTGTTAGCTCTGACTAAAGAGAGCATTTTAATAGTAAGTAACTGTTAGCCGCTTCAGTTCTGTCTGACTCTTTGCAACCCGGCACTACACTCCTCTGTTCATGGAATTCTCCAGGCAAGAATACTGGAGTGGGTTGCCATTTCCTTCTCTAGGGGATCTTCTTGACCCTGGGATGGAACCCAGGTCTCCCGTATTGCAGGCAGATTCTTTACTGTCTGAGCTACCAGGGAAGCCCAGAATATTTTAATAAATGAAAGTTAATCTATAAAGAACCCACCTGCCAGTACAGGAGGCCTAAGAGACTCGGGTTTGATCCCTGGGTCGGGAAGATCCCCTGGAGAAGGGAATGGCCACCCACTCCAGTGTTCTTGCCTGGAGAATCCCATGGACAGAGGAACCTGGCGGGCTACAGTCCATGGGGTGGCAAAGAGTCGGACACGACGAAAGCATCTTAGCACAGCACAGTCTCCGTAGGAGGTGGCAAGGAGGGCTGAGGTCCTGTTTACTTCCCTCTTTTAAGTGACAGTCCACTCTCACCCCCAGCCTCCGCAGGTATATTGGGCTGCGAGAGAGAGGAGATACCCCCAGACGCTGGCAGGGGTAGGGGCTGGTGGCACACACAGAGAAATGACATGAGGGAAAGAGCCTGACCTGCCCAGCCACTTGGAGCTGCAGGAGGCTGTTGGCTTAGCATTTTGGGGGGTGAGACCTTTCTGGATGGGCATCCAGGGCAGTGGTGAGCAGAGATCCTCACTCCCTGGCCACCGCTGCCACTGCCAGCCGGTCCCAACGCCTCCTGGAGCTGAGCTCACCCAGAGACAGGAAGAGCGGTTACCCCAGGATCATCCCTCTCCGCATTGAACCTTATCCTCTGCTCCGTGTCAGGGCCGAAGAGCGGGAGGAGGATCCTAGCTTGTCTTCCCCAGGCTCAGGATTCTGTGAGGTCTCTTACGAGAGGCGTGCACAGCGCTAGGGTAGGCGCTCTGGCACCTGAGGGAAGGGTATGTACATGCGTGCTCAGTCGCTTCAGCTGTGTCCGACTCTTTGCGACCCCAAGAACCCGAGTCTCTTACATCTGCTGCATTGGGAGGCAGGTTCTTAACCCCTGGCACCACCTGGGAAGCCCCCCACAGGAAGAGTTAAGGCTGGCTACTGCCCTCAGAGTGTTGATACTCCAGCCAGGGAGGTAAGCAGATGAGAGACAGGACAGATAGGACGGAGTGTTTCCGGATCCCGACCACAGCGGCATCCAGTACAGCTTAGGGTCCGGAGCGCTTCCTAGATGCTGTCCAGCATCACAAGAGTCAAACGAGCTGCGTCCTCCTCCTCGCCTCGTTTTACAGCAGGGGAAACCGAGTCCCCGACAGAATAAGTAGCTTGACCGAGACTACAGAGCAGGAAGCGGGCAGAGACAGGATATGAGTGCAGGCAGCCTGGCTTCAGAGTTCATGCTCTCAGCCAGACTGTTGGTCACATGCCAGGCTGTGACATAAGAGGCGAGAGAGAAGGGGAGCTGTGTTTTCAGGAGGGCTTCCTGGAGGAGAGGGCTGGAGGGCAATGGGCCGAACATCAACCTAGAGGAAACTGGACGGCGTCCTTGACGGAGGAGCCGAGGTCAAAGGCAGGCAGCAGCGGGCACGGGGCTTCAGACTCCGAGGAGGTGGCTCGCTAACAGGGACACGGGCCGTGGTGGAGGGGTCCCTTCCAGGGCGACAGCTCGCTCACGTCATAGCGGCAGCAGGCCTGGCTTTTCAGTCTGGCGAGGAGCTTAACCCTGCTCTCCATCCCTGGGGAGCTACTTGGGGCTGAGCTGCACTTGGTCACCTCCAAGCCTCCTCCCCAGCCCTGGCTCCTGTAGGACCCACCCACGATGACGAGCTCCCCGCCTGGAGACAGCTGTGCCTCAGATGAGTTTCTGCCTTTCTGTATCACTTCCAGCCCCGCCTAGGAGGCTGTCAGCGCCTCTTCATGTTAAATTCCTACAGATAGAACCCTGGGTGGCAGATCCCGCAAACATGGAGTTTTACGCGCGCCCCCCCCCCCCCCCAGGCTGGAAGACGAAGCCCCACAGGGAGGCAGGGGAGCCACGTGGCTGTGACTTGTAGGCTGCAGAGTTCAACTGCACCCGGCAGGCACAGCTGCCGTCTTCCAGTCTGATACACCTCGTCTACTGGGGAGAAGGCCTCTGGTTTTCAAAGGCCCCTAGACCCCAGTCGAGGCTGTCCATCCACAAGACAACAGGGAGAGGAGCCAGAAGCCGCTGACAAATAGAGTCGTGGACAGAACCAGAGCGGCACTGAGGTCCCTTGAGGCCACGAGCTCCCGAGGCCACGCCTGCTCCGTGCAGCCTGGCACACAGGAGACATCCGTGCCCGCTGGCTAGACTGAATGAGCCAGGGCGGTGCCGCCCAGCCCGGCCCCTCTCCTGGGTGCTGGGTACACGGGGGGCCTCTCCCCAGGTGACTGTGCCGTCCAGGGAACTCATCCGAGGGCATGGAGCCCGTGGCAGCCTCTGGGCCCGGGAGCGGGGCAGCTGGGGTTTCAGGAAGGTCCCCGCCGGGCTCAGCACCTTGCAGCTCCTGCCTTGCTTGGGGAGGCCGCTTTTCCTGATTCACTCCTGCTCTGGGGCCGTCAGTGCAAAAGCTCAGGATGGTGGGTTGTTTTTTTTTTTCCTTTTCTGGGGGTTGCGCCTCTTCTAAGGGACCCCTTCTGTCTGTGTGTCCCCCAGGATCACACCTCGACACCCAACCCTTGAACTCCACACACTCTGCCACGCATCCAGGAGGAGAGCTGGCCCGGAGGCCCGGCGCACGCGTCCCTGGAGGCTGACGGCATGACCTCCGTAAGGGACTTCCTTTAGTCACCTATTCGCATGAACGACTGTAGACGCATGACCTACAGTCTTCAGTCCTGCCTCTAGCGACGGTGGATCTCTGTGGGGAATGTGGATGGAAGCAGCAAGAGGGGGTGTGCAGAGAGAGAGGGACGCAAAACATGCGCAGGAGAGCGCCGAAGGCAACAGCAAAACAAGGGCTCTTTTGTGGCTGGGATGAGATATTTTTTTAAATCATTTCAATTTCGACTTGTTACAGGGTACTTTTTTTTTTTCCCCCAACCTCATTCTGTAGGAAATCCATGTGAGCTTCCTGGAAAGGGAAAAAAAAAAAAAGCTTCCTGGAAAGGGGAAAAAAAAAGAAAACTAGACATGAAATCAGTTCCACCTTTAATCCCTTGCCCTCATCTGCCAGCCTTCCACACCCACACACCTCCATGCTCCATGTGTAACCATCCTTGCCAGTGGACCGAACCTTCCAGAATGCGCTACATGGCATCAGGACACACAAACACGCCCGCACATGCACACCTCTCCCCTCCGCTCAGTATATACACAGATTTTACTGTGATGTCCGAGGCTGTATAGACTCTCCTGTGGATAAACTGGAATTTTTTTTATGTTGTCTCTCTCTCTCTCTGCTAGTATTAATCATCTTCCAATGGAAAATCATTATCTTCAGAATGCATTCGGGGGTTCCTTGTGTCAGGGACTTAAGAATCTGAAGCGAGGACCCCCAGGCTTAGCTGCAGGGCTCCAAGGGAGCCAGCGCCCCATCCAGAAGGGTCTTTGCTCTCAGCTGGGGGAGGGCCGATGGCTGTCCCAGGATTGCACCAGCATGTTCAGTAGAGAAGAGGTTTTCTATACCTTCAAGCACTTACATCCTAGTCTGTGTTCAAAGTGTAAACTGTACAGTAATCAAGCCTTGTGTATATGGAAAACAATAAATACTATGCAAATCAATAGAAACACTTCAGCAGTCTGTACAGAGCACTCACAAACAGCTCAGCTGAGGACTCCAGGCTGCGGGAGAAGGACCCCCGCAGCCTTTCAGTGCGACAGGAAGGAAGGGCATAGGGCTCGCGGATGCGGACCTGCCCAGGTCTTAGGTCAGCCGCCACCCGAGGTCTCCCGGAGCGAACTCGGTGCTCTAAGTCCAGGCAGCCGGCGGGATGGGGGGTGGTCTGGGCTGGGCAGTCAAGGTGCCCCCGCACCCCCGCCCCCGGCCTCCTGGAGAGGCAGCGCGGGGGGTGGGGCGCGGGCGGAGCGCAGGGGGACAGACGGCTGACCACCTGGAGGCCCCAGCCAGGAAGGAGACCCTCCCGGCCCAGGGCTCCCCCGCCGTCAGGGCAGGAAGGAGACGAAGTTCCTCGCCTCGGTGCCATCAGGGAAGAGCCTTAAAGTTACACCAGAGCCCCCGACCCGCGGCAGAGGGAGGCCCGAATCAGCACAACGCGCCCGCCCCGCGGCACCCTCCAGGCCGGGAGAGACTGCAGGCTCTTCTCGCCCGCCCAAGGGCCACACTGTGTGTGGATGTCCAGTCACCGTCCTCTCCGCCGCTCTGCCGAGGTGTCCTCCGAACACATCCGAACCTTCCAAGTAGCACAGAAGCTCCCTCGACGGCAGAGCGCGCCCCCCACCCCCCAGCGCCCCCGACCCCGGCCGGGCCCAGAGCACACGTGTTCCCGTGGGTCCCGGCGGGGTCGGGGTCGGCCCGGCCTCCAAGGGGCGCGCGGGGAGAGGGAGCCCCCCGAGCGCGCGGGGCGGCGCGCAGAGCATCCTGGCCGCCGCCAGCCTGACCCTTAGCCCGGCCCCGGCGCCCCCACCCCCCAGCGCCCCCGGCCGGCTGGACTCGCTGAAGGCCAAGGAAGACAGGCGCGGGGCCGCCTCCCGCCGCCATCGGCCCCCGCCTCGCCCCGGCGCCCCGACCCGGTAGCCCCCGTAGAGCCCCGGCCCCGGCCCGGCTGCGCTTTGGCCCCTCTCTGTCTGGCTTCGCTGCTTGGCCCGCCGGCCCCGGCCCTCGGCGGCATGCCGCGTCCGCTGCTAGTAGGAGCTTGTAGGGGAGGGGTTTGGGGTCGCCACACGATGCCTAGAGAATGCTGCAGTCTGCACCTTAGACGCTTTTTAGAAGTTTTGGAATTACCTTGATTTTTTAAAATTGTTATGAAAATGATTCTTTTCTTGACTCTTCCACACGGCTCTGTTCTCTGGAGGGAATCTCCCCCCTACCCACCCTCTCTGATGTATAGACCATTCTCCCTACACCAGCTGAACAAATGTCAAAATTAATAAAGAAATCGATTCATGGCACTGGCTTGCTCTCTCCTTCCGGCTCATCTTTAGGGAGTTGGGGGTGGGGGGTAGCGGGGCTGGAGGAGTCTGGGGGTGATCAGTCTGCAGGGAGGCCTGCACCCCCCCGCCGCCCACCTTCTGGAAACATGGGCAGCCCCTTAATCAAGACCACCCCTTCTAGGAGAGGGCCCCCACACCACCCTCCAGATGATAGGACAGATTGCTGTCCCACCCCATAAGGACCATGCGATGGGGGCAAGTCCAAGATCTTTGGAGGGGGGGCAGAGGGAACCACAAACACCAAAGTAGGTGGGTAAGCCCACAGCGGGCATACACTTAAGGGGGACCCGCAGCACTCCCTGTGAAGGTGTCTGACCCCTGCATTCAGTGCCAGAGTTCAAGAACTTCCAACAAAATCACTCTGATCCTAACTAGTTCCTAACACTTCCTGCAAGGCTAGCCAACAAGCTGGCCTCAGTTTTCTCATCCATCAAATGGGGGAAGGGATCAAGCAAGTAGTAAAGTCTCTTCAGCTTGCCATCCTGGGATCACTGAACACAAATGCCTCTGTCAACCTTGGCATGAAATAAATTATTTACTCTGGCTTCTCCTCCTAAGTTCGCATCATTGGTGGGAGCAGGAGGCAGGGTGTATAGCCAAGTCATAGTCATAGGGTGTTAGGAGCGCACCCAGCCTCAGTCTGATTCTGAAGCATCTCTCTCAGTATCCAGGCCAAGCGGCCTGCCGAGCTGTGCACCACCATCACCCAGAGGGATTTTAAGACACAGGTTCAGAATCACAACCGCCAGGGTGGGTTCTGGCGGCCATACAGGGAACTGGAATATAGCTTCCCAAAGGGTGGTGATGGACAGCTTTGTAGCGCAGCCAGTTTGGACGGATAAAAAACCTTTTCTCTTGTGTTTAATCCAAACTTCCAGAAAAACAAGGTCCACGGCCTTTGTGAGGTCTTTCTTGTGTTTAACCTGCGTCACTTGTGCGACAGGGTCATAGCCAGTTCCAGCCCGAGCAGATAACAGAAGTGTGGGCAGAGCCAGCTCTTTGTGAAATGGAGCCATTCCTACAACCTGGGCCCTGGGCCTCCTGCTGAAAACCCTGGAGCAGGCTTGTCTCCACCTGCCAAAGGGCGACTGTGGGCTGGAAAGAAAGGGCTCTGGGACCGCCAGGCAGAGAAGGGACACAAGTCCATCTCTCTGGCAGCCACTGTGTTCCCAGTCATGTTGCACGTCCAAACCAGTGACATGCTGATGGGCATTTAAACAGAAACTACACACGGGGAGGGAGTGGGAGGCAGGTTCAAGAGGGAGGGGACGTAGGTATACCAATGGCTGATGGTGGCCTTTGGCAGAAACCAGCACAATATTGTCCCTGGAGAAGGAAATGGCAGGCCACTCTAGTATTCTTGCCTGGACAACTCCATGGACAGAGGAGCCTGGGGGGTTACAGTCCATGGGGTCGCAAAGAGTTGGACACGACTAAACGACTCACACTGCAGCACAATATTGTAGAGCAATTATCCACTGATCAAAAATAAACAAATTTAATTATTAAAAAAACAAAGTAATAAATAAAAATAAACCGCAGGAAAGGATGCTGTTCCATGCAGAAATGATCCAAGTTAGTTACTGTGTTTTCCCCATTTGTAAAATGAGAGAGAGAGATCCCAGTGGAGGCTTGTATGTTGTAAAAATTTATTAGAAAAAGAAAAAAAAAAGGCATATGGGTGCCCTGTGATTCAATCTCATCTCTTCTGTCAAATATTTACTGAGCACCAACCAAAAGCTGGCACAGGCACTCATTGCTGAATCAATGGCCATCCCAGGCCATCAACCCATCCAACCCAGATGCCAAGCCAGGCAGAACATGGCAGAAGCACAAATGAGTCCTCGGAGGAGGAAGGGAGGACAGAGGGGATCAGAGAGAGCCAGAGAGGCGGAGCCAGAGACTGGGGAGCACCCAGCCAGCACCCGCAGAGGGGTCCCACTCCCACCCCCAGCCCAGCCTGCCTGGCAGGCTCCCACCTGCAGGCTCTTGGGCCCCAAAGCCCAGCCTCCCCACTTACCCGTCCCAGCGCTGAGGAGGAGGGGCAAACCTCCATGTCCACTCTGCACACTCCCCCAAGAAGCCTGGGCATCTGCCCAGAAAGGGGCCTGGGCACCTCAGGGTAGCATCTCCCGAGACCACAGGGGGACCAACTGTGCCCTCCAGGTGCCCCAGAGGCACCTCCACAGGTACCCACGTTTTCTTAGACGCTCACTTGAACCAGGAGCGGGTAGACCGTCTCAGAATGAACAGAGGTTCCTGAGGCTCACTCTTTTCTCTTTCTGTCTCTCTCTGTCACACACACACACACACACACACACACACACAGGCTGATTTTACAGTCAATCTTTCAAAGTGCAATTTGTCTAGGAAAAGCCAATGTGAGGCCCGAGAGGGTTTCCACCAATGGCAAGGCGACTCCGGCCGCTCAGCCAGTCTCGGGTCTGTATTCTAATGGGCCCCATCTTTATCAGGGAAATGTTGCTTCTCTGAACTGGAAACTTCTCATGGAGGGTCCCTGGACTCCGAGGCAGAGAAGGGGCCTGAGCTGAGGCGTGGGGAGCCGCCTTTCCCCAGGCAGGGGCAGAAGGCAGGGGTGCCGGGGAAGTGGGGGGGGGGTGCTGGCACCTGCCTGGGAACACCTGACTTCCCGTGTCTGACGTGGTCCGGGACCTGGGCAAGGGCTGGGCCGGACGCCTGGGGGGGAGGCGGCCCGGGGCTTGAGCCGGTTTGACCCTCAGGAGCTGCCATGGGGTTCTGGGCTGGACCTCAGGGGCTCTAGGGGCCCGGATTTGGGGTTCCGGCCTCCCCTCGGCCTGTTGTGGGGAGGGCCATGGAGTCCAACCTGCAGGGCCCCTTCCTGCTGAACAACCCGCCGCTGGCCCAGTTCTCAGAGATGAAGGCGCCTATGTGCCAGTACTCTGTGCAGAACTCCTTCTACAAGCTCAGCCCCCCGGGCTTGGGTCCCCAGCTGCCAGCCGGGACCCCCCACGGCATCACGGACATCCTGAGCAGGCCCGTGGCCGCGCCCAACAGCAGCCTCCTGCCCGGCTATCCCCACGTGGCCGGCTTCGGTGGCCTCGGCTCCCAGGGGGTCTACTACGGCCCCCAGGTGGGGAGCTTCTCCAAGGCGGGGAGCGAGTACCCCACCCGGACCCGGAACTGCTGGGCGGACACGGGCCAGGACTGGCGAGGCGGACGGCAATGCAGCAGCAGTAAGTACCGGGGGGGGGGGTTTGGGGGGAGGGGAGGGGAGCGGGCGCTCGCGGGGGGGCGGGGGGTCCCCGGTGGCTATCGGACTGCCTGGGGCAGACCCTGGGTCTGTCCCTCCATCCAGGGGCGGCGTGGGGTTCTCCCCTCCCCCTCCCGCCCCGGCTTTGCCCGGATGGGCATCTTGACCCCTGCCCCGACCCCTTTTACCAGCTGCCCTCCTGGGGATCCCGGGAGGACCACACGGCCCACCCCATCCTTTATAAGGTCCTGCTCGCCTTACTTCTCCCACCCAGAGCCGTGTCACCAGCTCACCCCAGTGAAGAGAATCTGCCCCCTCATCACCTTCCCAGGGTCCTCCCACGCCCGGCAGAACTCAGGGACACGAATGTACCCCGACCCCACCTCAGTCCTGCTGCAATCCAGGGGGCCCGTTCCCTCCTGGGGGGTGGAGGTTCAAGTCATCAGCAGCAGCCAGACCGCCCAGCCTCCGGGAGGCGCTGCTGAGCCCCGTCCCGCTGAACCTTTCTTGCTGGGGAGGCCCCTCGCCCAGGCCTCCCCAGACTGCGGCTTTCAGAGGGCTGGTGCAGGGCCTCGGGCTGCCAATCAGGGACTGGGGGAGGTGGCAGGTTGTACAGAGGCAGGGGGGCCTCACCCGGGAGGCACGGGGGGGTGATCGTGGCTGTCAGAGCCACCCCTGGGCCCGCATCAGGCAGGGGCAGAGGGGGGCGTCCACTTCTGTCCCCCTTTGGGGGGCCTCCACTGCGACCGGGTCTTGGGGCTGCCCAGGAAAGCCGGGAGCACTCTGCCGCCCACCTGTGTGCTCCTGGGGCCCCCACGGCCCCCATCAGCCTGAAACAGCGAGGCCCACAGGGGACCTATCTTACAGCTGGTTTGGGGGTGCTTTACCCTTCCGTCCACGTCCCCCTTTGCACACACAGCCCCCTCTCTGCACCCTGCCCTTCAACCCTGAATGCACACACACACACACACACACACACACACAGAGCAAAGTATCTGAGAGCCAGGGGCTGGATTCACTCAAGCGGAGGGGACCAAAGGTGACAGTCTCTTGGGAGGTCTCCTCACCTGTGTCTGCCTTGGTTTCCTCACCTGTGACCCGAGGATGTGGGATGTGGGGGTCAGACATGCTGAACAAGGCCCAGCATATGGGCCTTCTGCTTCCCCGGGGCCCATCCACACTCTCCTCCCCCAACCAAGCTCCCGAGAGGCTGCCTGGATGGGCAGGGGTCAGTTCTCTCACCCCCCTCCCACACTGTTTTGGGCATTTTTTAAATTTATTTTTAATTGGAGGATAACTGCCTTACAATGTTGTGGTGGTGTCTGCCATACAACAATGTGAATCAGCCATAAGTATATATATATATATGTGTATCCCCCCTTAAGCCTCCCTCCCACCTCCACACCCCATCCCACCCCTCTACTAGTCACAGAGCACCAGGCTGAACTCCCCGGGTCTGAGACAGTAGCACCGAAGCATATATATGGTCACACGTAAAACAGAGCTGGCGGGAAGCTGCGGGATGACCCAGGGCTCAGCTCTTGAGGCCTCGCCTCCAGACTCTCCCGTGGGGCTGAAGCCCTTGTGGCTCCCAGGCCTGGGGACCAGGCAGTCACTTGGAGCTTAAGGCTCTGGTTTTCCCAGGAACCTGGAAAATGGGATCCCAAGAGCAAGAAAGTGGAGGAATTCCCAGGTCCCCTGCCTGCCCCCCCACCCCGGGCCCTGATGGTTGGTAGAAGGCATCAAATCCATTTCTCAGTGACCTGAAGGGACATCCCGGAGACCCAGAGGAGGCTTCTCCTGCCCCTTGGCAGGGGTGGGCGGCATCACTCAGTAGTGAGGACGTTCCACAGGGAGATGCAGTTCCAAGCACCCTCTGGCCGTAGTTAACTACAACTTGGGGGCAGGTGCCCTTGGGGTCCCTGCCCACCCAGACAAGGCAGAGGCAGGCTGCTCAGGTGAGAGGTGCCCCGATGACCCCACAACCTCAGCGGCTCCTCGGTAGGGGCGCTCGCCCTGTGGGGCAGGCAGGGCAGGGCTGGGACTCCCCCACACTCAGCACATTAAGGGCACACTTCCTTCCTCCCGCCAGCCCCGGACCCCCTGAGCGACAGCATCCATAAGAAAAAGCACACCCGGCCCACCTTCACGGGCCACCAGATCTTCGCGCTGGAGAAGACTTTCGAGCAGACCAAGTACCTCGCTGGCCCCGAGAGGGCGCGGCTGGCGTACTCGCTGGGGATGACCGAGTCGCAGGTCAAGGTGAGTCCGGGCGGGCGAAGAGGCTGTCTGCGTGGCAGTGAGGAGCCCGCCAGGGCAGGGTGCCACTGCCTGGCAGGGAGGCAGCCCCGCGCTCATGGCGACAGCAGCTCAGTGGGAGGATGTTCAGGCGTGTGGGCACCACCTGCCCGCCCAACCCTGGAGACGCCAATAGTGACCATCACCCTGCTGGCTGTCATCCACGGCGCCCTCTTCTGAGAGCTGCAAGTGTAGCTGCCCATTTAAACCTCACAGCAACCTTATCAGTGGAAGGAGGTCTTGTTACCCAACTTGAAAGTGAAAAGTGAACGTGTTAGTCCAACTCTTTGCAACCCCATGGATTATAACCTCTGTCCACGGGATTCTCCAGGCAAGGATACTGGAGTGGGTTGCCATTCCCTTCTCCAGGGGATCTTTCCAACCCAGGGATCAAACCAAGGTCTCCCGCATTGCAGGAAGATTCTTCTTTTTTTTTAAATGTATTTATTTTTTAATTGAAAGATACTTGCTTGACAACAGGCAGATTCTTTACAGTCTGAGCCACCCACCGACTCAGCCGAGTTTTTTGCCCAAGGTAACTGGCTAGTAAGTGCTGGCAGTCAAACCTGGATTACAGGGCTCCAACCCCATGCCTTCCCCAGCCTCTGCATGGCCCAGGCTGGAAACTTCAAGAGCTGATGTCAGCCTCTGGGCCAGATCAAAACTCACTTCAGGCTTGTTCTGTTAGGCAACCTTGACCTTGGTTCACCACCAATATAAATTTCAAGGACTTCAAAGTGAATATAACTCCTCCCCACAACTGCCCATGAGCCTGACTGCCCATCTGGAGGCAAGGCTCAGCGGGGGTACCCCCTCTCACTGCACACCTCCCACCTGAAAGTGAGTATGTGGGTTTCTGCTTTCTCAGGCTTCTGGGGCAACCCTGGTAACGCTGAGGCTCACTGTGCCCTGAGGGGCTTTGGCTCGGGCACCATCTTCAGCTAGCTCTGAGCTGTGCTGGAACTGCCTGGCTCCGTGACAAGGTGATGGACTTGAGTGCAGTGAGAGGCACAAGGGCAGCTGGGGACCCGGTCTGGGCTCCCCCAGGACCCCCAAGCCACCTCCATCCCCCATCCCCCGTCCCCCATCCCCCGCAGCCTCCTCCACCCAGTGCTAACTCGGCTGGAGAGGAAGTGCCCTTTCCACGTGGCCCTGTTCCTTTGGGTCCTTTCTGCAGGGTTCTATCCCGAGCAGGAAGCATATGTTAGTTTTACTGTTGGAGAAATTATTCATGAAGTTCAGTGCACGTCTGGGAGGTTAAAAGCGTTTCAGCCCCTTCCACCCCAATACCCAGATGGCAAAGGAAAGATACACACCACATGGAAGGGTTAGAGGGAAGCAGAAAAAGCTGCGGCACTGTTTTAATTTTATTGCCCTCCTCCAAAAAGAAAAAAAGAAAAGAAAACAGTCGTGTGACGGTGACAACCTGGTCCATTGCCGCGCCTAGCCCAGGATGCAGAGGGCTTGCCGCCGCGGGGAGCCTCCGGCTCCAGAGGGGCGCCGCGCGCGCCATCCTCAGAGCCCCT